TCCTAGTAACAAAATCGTGCACAAAAGACTAATTAGAACAAATGATAATTTTATTCTAAAGTCTAAAATAATGGTTTCAAAGAGTGTGGCATAAGCACTACAGTTTGAGTGTTTATTCCAGACATGAAACGGCAAGACCCCGTGCACTGTACAGCTCAGAGTAATAGTGCTACACTGTTAAAATACAAAAGAGCAACATGAGTGAAACTGCCGTATGAGTACAGGAGCAGAGGCGGCTCAGTCTTCCTTCCCGGCCTCTTTCTTGAGCTCCTCATACTCCGGCTCATCCCCCTTGTCCTCGCCTTCCTCTGTCCTCGAATTGGGGACCCAAAGCCCCGATTCAATGCACCTCTTCATGTGTCGTTTAGCCTCCTGTCAAAGACAAACAGCCGTGGATCTTTCACTTTCCGGTCACTCCCCAAGACAACAGAGCGGCGCAAAGCACTACAAGTAGCCGGTGACATACCACTGGGTCCATTTTGCTGATGGCATCCTGCAGCATCTGAATGTTCTTCTCGTCAAAGCACTTCTGCATCTCCTACCAAATGGAGGTAGCCATATTAGTAATAGCTAAGTATTGTATACTTATGAAACATTTGAGATCCTGTTTCTCCCTTGATACCCCACCTAAAAGTACAGAGCACAGGCTGCCTGGGGTTGGGATGCCAGCCGGCGTCCTCCTGGCAGTTCAGTGCTTGAGCAGAGTTGCAGTTAGTCATGTCCAGTGCCTTTTAACATGAATGTTCCCTGCTGTCAGGTTCAGAGAGCATTTTCACACTGCACAATGCTGCCATTTACCCATAACATATGCAATAACCTTTTCAGTTTCTCTGTATGGCGTAAACCTTGACACTATGTGCAATGTTAATATTATCATGTAACACAGATTCTATGACTGACTACTGTGAATAGAAAATGCACTTTATCAAACAATAATTCTCCTAAAGAGTTTACATTGTAGTTTGACATCTATTCCATCTTTAATTTTTGTTGGTGATATATTACTTTTTTCATCATTATGCAATATCGATCGTACCTAATGGTGTTTCTGAACAAATTGTAGCCAAAGTAATTTCCCTCTGGGATCAGTAAAAGTTTTTTTCTGTTTCTCTAATACAGGAATGGAAAGAATGGTTTCGGGTTTGACTTGTTATTATCAAAGTAGTCAATACCACTCTGAAAAGGCTCCACCAAACAGTGAGAAGCACCTTCAGTTAGTTATGTTGCCTCTTAATGCCACGCCAGCAACTTGGGATATTAATATGCATCCTCTTGCCATGAAAAGACTAAAAAACCAAAAAGGTCAAAACTTCATAAATAACCACAACACGTCACACTTCAAATGAATCTAAATAAGATTCTCAATACTTAGCTTTTGATTAAGAAAAACATCTAAAAAAAAAGTCCCTAGCTTGACTGCTAAACCCCTTTTAAAGAGTCACTAAAATGATAACTCTGCCCAAGTGAGTTAAAAGACAATTCAATAAAATGTGTTTAACAGTTACAAGTGTTTCTTGTAGGACACACAGGTAGAACTTTACCTGTAAGTAATGACACTGAGTCAAGCTGGTATGCCTCACGCAACATCTTGTAGAGATAATACCACAGCATTGTGGATGCTTATTTACACCTCACAAGAATCATGTTTCCCTACACAGACACACACAGACAGAGAGACCCCATTTACCTCAGGCAGGGACTCGTACACCTCCACTGGGTCCAGCCCCCCCGGGCCCAGGCGCTTCTGCCGCTCCTCCTCCTCATACTCCTTCATCGCCTTCTCGATGCGGATCTTAGCCCGCCCACGCACGCGCTCCTTAAATGACTCTAGCTCGTCATTGAAGGCATCTTGGTACTGCTGGTCCGCTGTCTGACAGATTATATTTATTCCAATAAGCTGACGCAGAAGTTTAAAAACAGATTTCCACATTCCCAAAAAATAAAAAGCCATCTTATTTTTGGAAGCCAGATGAATTACTGTAGGTAATCTAACCAACTGCGACAACCGTCTTCATTTTTCTGCCCCAATAGAACAGGGATCGTACTAGAAGACACAGAACAGAAAGCAGAATGGGAAGAGGTGATCTGTTATAAACTTGAGTGAAGTTCAACCCTCTTCATGGAGCAGTGTGTGGCGCAGTGGGTTAGGACTGTCACCACATGATCGGAAGGGCACTGGTTCAGATCCTGTAATCTGAGGAGTGATTTCACCACTGGGCCACTGAGCAAAGCCCGTAACCTCAACTGCTCCAGGAACTGGCTCACCCTGCTTTCTCAAATTTTGAGGCTTTAGGTAAAACCAACTGCTAAATAAACGTAGCCACTAACTTCTGATTAAAAAAAAAAAAAAAAAAAACAAAGAGAAAGGGCTATAGCTTGACACGCCACAGACAGAAATTCATGTGATAACCGCACAGCACACAACCAGTTCCTCATACCAACCTTGATCTTAGTGAAAAACTGGCGGAAGCAGCCGCGTGGGTCAACCTTCAGGCTCTTGGCCAGCTCCAGGATGAACTGCATGACGATTGTCTGGTGGGCCACTTGCTCCATCAGGGCGTGTTTCTGTGGGTACATGGTGGGGAGCACAGGATCAGGTGACAGTCCCAAGGTCCGCAAAGGGACAGGCCCAGAGGTCAGATCTCACCTCCTCCACCTCCAGATCAATGCACATGATGACCAGGTAGTTGGCTGTCTCCTCACACACCAACTGGGGGTTATCTGACAGGTACTTCTGACTGTCATCCCAGCGCCGCAACATCCCTGAAACAAACACCCGTTAGCATCTGCCACTGTGGCAGGTATTTTCCAACTAGATCTGGCAGAACAAATTCTTACCAAAGTGCTTGATCTGTTTCTCATATTTCTCCACAAAGGTCTTGTGCTTCTGCTCTTTCTCCTCCTCAGTCTCTTCCTTTATCTCAGGCTTAACGTTCATGATGCTCTGTTGAGGGAGGAACAGGAAATATTAAGAACTGACATTGCTCACATGACACCATCATAAACATATACAGAAGACCTCCCCCCCCCCCCCCCAAATAAGCAACAGGAAGTACAACCTTGCTGAAGCCTTCCTTGCTCAGGGTATCTACGTTCCAGGGCATCTTCTTCTCTTCACGCCGGTACTCCTCCATCTTCTTATCGCACTCCTTCTCTTCCTTCTTCAGCTGTTTCTCCTCCACCCGCACCTGGCTCAGCTCCGCCTTGGCCTCCTCCGTGGCCGAGAACTCCAGTTCCCGGAGCTTCTTCTGCACCTCTGCCAGTTTACGCTTGCACTCCACCTGCACCTTCTCCAGCTCACCCCCCTTCTTCTGGAACTGCTCCATACGCTCCACGCGAGCCTGAGTGGGCCGAAGGAACATATTAACTTGATATTTAGCACTTTTACTGGCCCAATCGCGCTGGGTCCATGCACACGTGGCTTAGCGACCCATCAATCCTTGCAAATTAGCCTGAGCTCCATCATTAGCGTTCTGGCATCCAGAATATTCTTCAGTGCTTATGCATCCATTTCTCCCGTCCTCCGAAGGATATTGAGGCCACGCGAATTTTAAAAGCATTCTTCTGTACTTATTATGTAGTTAAAATATGGAGCCGGACACCACCACTAGTCAGGGCCGCAAACAGTGGATCTGATTGATACCGAAAAAACCTTTAAAAACAGCACAATACATTCACACTCCTAGGCCCAGACGACCAAGACAAAAAAGTAAAGGTGAACGATCATCTTCTACTTATACGAGGTTTTCGTCAAACATTTAAGGCCTCGACGGGACAAGTTGAATGGCTTAGCTTGCCGTAATCGTGAGCTCACTGGCGCGATGTTACAATGTTAACATGTTACAACCTCTCACGACCAGAATTAACACACTGCCGTTACTTGTACTTGGATTATTTACGGCAATTCAAACAACTGTCACGACACAACCTCTTTATATGAATAAACCTGTATATCCTATTGGGCACTTCCCTAGTTAGCCACTTAACACGGCACTTTAGACGTCTCATAAACGCCCCAAACGTTAGTTTTGCAATACTATGATGCCCAAAACAAGTTTAGGCGGCTTAAAATGTGCCTGTGTTTTAAGATGGCACAAAAGCAGTTTTACAAATACGTACTGCCCACCACAAAGCCCTGCTACAACAAGCACTCACGGCCGACAGCCCATAGGCTATGCGGCTAAGTAGCAGGCCAGCTAAATGCCTTGATCCGTACCCAAACCTGAACCGATTAACCGCTAAGCCCAGATTTCACTTCGTTCCCAGGTACCTGATGTCGCCATCGGAAAAGACTGGGAGTATCGATGTTCGGATGCGTATCATCTTCGTCGTCTGAAACTTCAATGTGATCCCACACGCTGTAGTCGATGGTCGTCATTTTTATGTATTTCTTCTCTTGAAATCCCCCTTCCTTGTACTACCCCTGAGGAATAGATGACTAGATACACACCCGAAACGGCTAAAAGCCTACACTCCCGCTGATATATTCTGCCCGTCCGCTCGCGCGCATACAGCCGCAGCGCGTTCACAAAAGAACAGAAGCCTCGAGAACGTCTCGCGAAATCACAGAGCTGGCGGCGGTCACGTGACCCGCGCACCTTCCTCTACCGTTAGCCAAAACAAGAGCACAATTAAGAGACCAATGTAACTGTACATATAATCTAACCTTTAACTCGTTAATGAACCGGGCATGTGTATATGTCTGTTTGATGGTTTGTTACTACATTGATCACCCCAGGTCGCCCAGCGGAGCTACTGAGGGATCCCACTTTCTGCTAAAACTCCAGTCCTGCACGTCATCGTCACGCTCAAGATCTCGCGTAGCTGCTGCTGGCTGATGCATTGCAGGATGCTGCTGAAATCTGTTGCTACACTTACGTGTAGTTTTTAAATATGTCACATGTATTAAGTGCAACCCGAAGGTGATTTGTGTTGGATGTTGAGGTACATCGGCATTTCACGCAATATTATTATAATGAATGCAAGTTGGGAGACAAGACAACATGTTCAAAGACCATTCTTTTAATGACTGTAATGATCCGGAAAGAGAAATGCATTTGGTTTCCACAAAATGGAGGAAAAGTACAAACTTTATTCATATAGGTATTTGTGCATATAATATGTACTATAGATTGTTTAGTTAAAATTAGATAACGTACAACTAAATTTACATTTGTAGAGCTAATTACATCTGTTTACACAACGGTATTTCAGTTATGCTAAAAATATAAAACTAACACTAGACTATTGATTCCTGTATCACACCAGATACTTAATGGAAGGAGGCAAATGCGATGTATTTCACAGACTGGTGTGTCAAGGTTTCTCTGTGAGGTTCATCTGATGCAAATTTAAGGAGTTCAACCTGAAATACAGAAGAAGAGGTTATGGATGGAATGTGTATGGGTGTCAGGGCGAATAGCTGTGGGTGTATGTTATGAGGTTGGTGACGGTTGGCTTCCAGCATTCCCTGATCGAGGGGCATATCGCTGCACCTTGGGGCGGAATGTCGAGTAGGAGGAGTGATGTAGAAGTGATACCCTCGTTATAAACCCCTCCTACTCGACATTGTCCCTCCCACTCGGATTCCGGCTGCAACGATATATACACCCCCTATCAGCTACTTAGGTTCCTACTGTCCCTTTGCGCCAAATTTCATATATGCCTGCCCTGACGAGCTGAAATGTGAGTCTCTGGCCCTTTCTGAATCAGTGCACGGCTAATAAAAAATAACGTGCGTAATAAAAATGTCAGACACAAAAACGTTCTGTTGTACGTGCAGAATAAGAGGTGAGCCGAACTCAGCCATGGCTGCCAACTGCAGAATGAATCGTCACCACCAGAGGGCAGCTGTGCCTCACCTATGGCTTAAGCTTGATGGTGAACTGCTTGCTTTGCTCTCCCAGCTTATTGGAGGCTGTGCAGGTGTAGGTCCCAGCTGGCAGTGTGGTGGAGGTGAGCACTGGCTCGGCTGTGAGCTTTTCCTGGGAGTGGGGGGTGCTCCATGAGTAGACGGGAGGGGGGTTTCCCTCAGCTGTGCAGTTTAGCCTCACCTCCTCACCCTGCTTCACTTCCAGTGCCTCTACACTTGGGCCGGAGAATGAAGGGGCATCTAAAAAGAAGAATGTTTAGTTATCTGACACTAAAGTCAGGCCACTGAGATGTTTAGCTTTCACTGCATATCTTATATAGCCTCCTGAGATTCAACAATTCATTTTTGTCCTCTGTAGAGAAATCAAAACTTTAATCAGTATGAAAACGTACTCAGATATTCAAAAAAACTTTTTCTCCTGGATCTCAGGAGGATAGGACAATACTTGAGACATCATACTAAAAACTGACGGCATTTCATGCATGTGCATGAAAAGCATAGACAGTTACAAATCTCCCACAGCATCAGCACCGATCTACTACAACAGAAGCGCAGCTCCAAAAATTCATAATATTATGGTCTGTTTTTCTCATCAAAAGCTATTAGTGGCTGCTCATTTCACATGATACAGCTGGACAGTGTTTAAGCCTGAGCGTGATGCGGAAACTGTACAGAGAGAACCGATCAACTTACAATGCACAATAACACTGAGGGGCTGTGATGTCATATTCAAGGGAGGTTGAGGTCCTTCTGGTCCCAGGTCCAGCTCTGCCATACACCTGTATTGTGCTCCATCATCAGCTCTGCTGGGGGTGATCAGGAGGGTGGAGGACACTTGGACCGGTGACGGAGGTGTGAGCTCAGAGAAGGTGTGGTTATAAACTTCAATCTGCCCTCTGTACCACCTAAGATTGAGGTACTGAACTGGGGCGATGTTCTGAACTTCACACTGAAGTTCATATTGTCTCCCCTCCAGCATCGGACCACTCTGGTTCAGTGAACTGATGGAGATGCTGTCTGGGGTCTCTGCGGGGGGAGACGTTCAATAGACTCATTTTCATGGAGCATAACTGGATTTAATTTAATACTGGGAATAAGTGTTCATCTGACTGTTGGCCATAGTTGTTTTGTTGTAGTAATGTTTACCATCTCTCATAATTCCAGATCAGCTTCAACAATAGTCAAGATACTCTGAGATTGGTAGGTAGGTGAAGCGCTTCAGGTCAGCTTTACTTACTGTAGAGGATAAGGTGGAGCTTCTCCTCGCACTGTCTGGGTGCAGTGAAGAACACTCCGTAGCATATGGGCTCCTCAATCCAGTCAGTCAGACTGTCCACTCCCCACTGGATGGTCTGGTCACGCTGCGTGTGGGCTGCGCCAACAGCGGCCTCCCAGCCCAGAACGCGGACGGGCCGTGAGGCGACGCAGCTCACGGTGATGGGGTCCCCGAACCTCACCACTGCGCGTGAGGGACGCAGCTCTAGAGAGCAGCTGTCGCCAGCCACTGTGTGGGGAAAATGACTCATCGATGTCACCGTGTGTCAATGGACTCGGCCTCCACATCCAGAAGATATTACATCATCGCTGAACTACTACTACAGCTACTGCGATGCAGCTACGTCAAGACTTGAACAACAATCTGTAGAGGCCTACAACCTATCATGGCCAACACATGGGATGCCATTCCATCACAGTGACACGTAAACATACACACAAAATGGTCACTTCTAGAGGTGCCAGTTGGCGTGATTTCATGCCCCTGGACTGCTGGAGGAATGCAGCATTGGCAAGGGGGCAAACATTCAAAAGCCACCCAGACAAAACAGAAGTGTGATTCAAACCCCCAGCCCTGGAAGTGTGAGGTAACAGTACCAACTACCACTGTGGCCATTTAAGTAAATGTCCTATAAAATTCATATTTGTCTTTCACCCTTAACTAATGTCACATAAATCACCCCCTCCCCCTCGCTATCCTCAATATACTGCTGTGTTGAGCTCCCCGATATAAAGCCTTTTTGTATATACCTTCTTGTCATATACATTATACATGTATACATATATATATATAGTTTTAGGTGGTATGTAAATTGCTATGCAAGCAAACATTCCCAAAACAGACCCCAAAATATCATTTAAAATCTAGAACTGTGGGTATTATATAAGCATTAAAGCTCAGTGGACAGCAGCGATCCCGCACATCGCTTCAAAAGTCGCAAGGAGAAAGCAGTGCCCTCACCACACACATCGCCCGTAACAAAGAGCCGAATCCTTACCCACGCAGAGCAAGTTGAGAACCACAGATAATTTCGCAAACTCCATTTCTAGCTCGGCTGCGACTTTCCCCAAGTCCGCCCGGAGCGTGAGTGGAAAGCCGACCGGAAATTCCAGCGTTGTTCTGCTAGGCAACCTGAAAAGCAAAAAGGGGACCAGAGCACTGCCCCCCACACTTTCACAAAGAGCGGAACTTTATTTGAGCTGAGAAAGGCATGGTATGGTTAATTACACTTACATTTTTCATCCTTCAATTAAATAATCTCCAGAGTCTTTTTCCTCCTTCTTTCCAGTAATACTGCAGAATAATCTAGGCTCATGCATTTCATAATGTTATATTCGCATGCAAGGTGAATAATGAGATGTAGGCTGTATTCCCAGTGACACATTTAATTTACTTATGATGACAAAGTATTAATTTATCGAAATGTTGGCGTGTTGGGCCATGTTGCATGCCATATGGATTTCCTTATAAATTACAACATGCTGGGTTATTACTGAGGAATTTATACGTTTTTGACGTTATCTTGCGCACTTTTGTATGTAATAAAAATAAGAGCAACATCAACTAAACCTAAAGAAACGGCTTGAAATTATTTACCCTTATGTATTACAGCATAGTAGCAAATGCAGGATTAGATACTTTCTAATCTAACTCTTGATGATAATTAACCATTTTAATGACATTTTGTTAGTTTGTCCATTAAATAACCGGCTGCCGACACTTGAATAGCTAATTAGCATCCCAGGGGGTTGAAGGTGAAGTGTCAAGGGCCACAATTTAACAGCTAGTCAAGCACTTAAGACTGGGGATGTGTTTCAAATAAATGCCTGATGGAAAGAGTGGATTTATCATTCCTAAGATGTACTGTGAATGTCTTAAATGCTTATTTTTCTGTAGGTGTAAATTGCGTGAATAGTTATAGCCCTTAGTGAAGACTCTCTGTATTTATTTTGGGTCCCCTTCTAAGCCGCCTGTCCTGGTCATTTGTAGGCTGTCCCCAACAGAGCGCGTTGCCATGGCAGCCACAGCTAGGTCGCAGACACACGGGGCTCCCTGGCAAAGCCGCTTCCCACCAGCCCTTTCATTAGAGCTGGATAACAGGCAAACACAATGAAGTTCTGAGCGAACAGGTCTTTCACATGCCTGCCGAGCGAGAATATTGCATAAGTCCCTTACAATACCGTGGTAAAGCATTTCCAGTGTTATATCCCATTGCGAGCAGATGGATTTTTTGCAGAAATGAAGACAACTGGAAACTGGCAGGATTTTATTCCTATTTTTTTTTGTATTACCAGACAACAATCTGATACATTGGTGTCTGTCATGAAGGGACAGTGGGATGGAGTGGAGGTCCACAATACAGCTTACGAACACACTGGAACTCCGACATACAAGACAGTGTAGGGGAGGGGTGGGTGGTCTTATCCAGAAAGGGCCATTGTATATGCGCGATTTTGCTGTAACTCTCTAATTAGATTACTAATTAGAGGACTGCCAATTAAAACCTTCCATACAAGTGCCACATCCCACTTGATGGCGTATAACATTGCAAACCATCATCCAAACGATGAAAAAATGTTGCCGTGAGCGGTGTATTTCGCTACATAAAGAAATGATAGAGCGTAATATGAAACAACAGACATTTCTGTTTGGTCAATAAAAGTGAAAAGGCAGAAAGTAAACCCCTCCTCCGCCATAAACCCCCCCTCCGGCCTTTCTCTGGCACGTTCCGCTGTCCATGCTCCTGAGTATATTTTCATGATTATAGTGTATAATTGTTGCAATATTGTATTCAGTCCATCATCCATGGCCTCTTATGCAGTACAGGGACACTGATGGGAGCCTGAAAATCATAGCCGGAAGCCAAAAGGCACCAGCCGTGTATCTTTATCTAATGAGTGTCCGTGGTCTGCCATCCATTTGAACACCTGAGAAAAGCATCATGGGAGAGAATGAATGAGAGAATGCAAACCCCCTCCCTACTGGCATCTCTAATAGAGCCCCCACCCATGGTGAAAGGGTATGTTAAACAAGACGAGGAAGTCTGTGGGATAAAGAGCCACGCAATTCCTGTGAGTTTTATAAATATATAAAATCTGCCCCTATTTTCTCGCGACACAAAATGAAATCCACGAGACTGACCTGACAGGTTAGCTAATGCGTTTGTCGGGATTTCCACATCAGCACAGAACAGGTGATGATGAGCACCACAGGCACAAGGAGTCCCAGGGTAATTATTATATAGATGGTATTGTCTGAGGGGAAAAAATAATGGCTTATTAGGCGTATGTATTACTTTACAATGTTTCTGGGGCACCAATCTTGGAGGAATTGGAAAAAAAAACACTTAAATATGTACAAAGGTTTAGTAAAAGTTTATAGCATAGCAAGCAACTGAGATGATCCTTTTTCTGCAGCAGGTGAGACTGCTTCTCACCTGAAGGTTTGTGCTCAATGACGAACTGCTTGCTGTCCTCTCCAAGTCGGTTACTGGCTGTGCAGGTGTAAGTTCCAGGCAGCAGCGTGGAGTTGAACACTGGCTCATCATGGCGCTTTTCCAGGGAGCCTGGGGTGCTCCAGGCGTACACAGGTGGGGGGTTTCCCTCAGTTGTGCAGTTTAACGTCACCTCATGACCCTTGTAGACTGAATACGTTTCAGTTTTGGCACCAAGGAAATATGGGGAATCTGGGAAGAGATGTTACAGACTCAGAAATGGCGCGCAGAGTTCCTGTACAGAAAACATGGCAGGAGTCTCAGCTGAACCAGGTGCATCAAATGCTGGTTGGAAAGGAGGTAAAAACACCTGGAAGAGCAACTTAATGTGAAATCAATCACAGTGAATAGTGTAAATAACACTCACAGTGCACAGTGACCCTGAGGGGTGTTGATTTCACTGCAAGGGGGGCTTGTGGTCCTTCTGGTCCCAGGTCCAGTTCTGCCTCACAGCTGTACTGTACGTTATCATCAGTTCTGTTGGCAGTGATCAGGAGGGTGGAGGACACACTCACAGGTGCCTTTTTACTGTCAGACTTTCTATCTTTAATGACACAGTCTCTGTCTTCATATATTAATGTGTGCCCTTTGTACCACTTCACAGTGAGGTTCTGAACAGGAGCG